GCGGTGCAAACTGATATTGAGGCCAATCAGTATACTCTGAAGTCCTGTGTGGAAACCATGACTGCGGTCACAAACTTGTCGCACCGGCTGCAGAGCAGGACAAATGAGGTGCAACAGTTAAACTCCCAGCTGGCTCTGCTCCAACGCATGTATAAGGATGCGCGAGCAGAGATAAGTGTGCTAAAGGCAGAAAACAAGGAGCTGAAGCGGAAGGCCACCGTGATGTTCCGATTCGGAGGGCCGCCATATGCTGCAATGGAGGAGCAAGGAGTAGTGATCGTGCCCAGTGGAGTGGGAAACACGGAGGTAACACCGTCAAGGGCCGTCCGGGAAGGAGGCAAAAAGAAAAGACCGGCGGCAGAGTAGAGAAGAAAAATCTTGCCTGTGGATGGGGTTGTTTTGTGTGTTTTGTTTTTGTTGTTGTTGTTTTTTGTTTGTTTGTTTGTTTGTTTGTTTGTTTTTTTTTTTTTTTTTTTTTTTTTTTTTTTTTTGTAAAATGCTGATCGGGGTTGATCCCCGGTAGAAATAAAATGAGTGTATTGTGCAAATTCGAATGGCTTGAAGGTACAAGACTGAGCAGAAAAATTAGATGGAATGAATTGTTTTTTTTTTGTTTTTTTTTTTTTGATAAAATAAAATAAATAAAGATAAAGTGGGTAAAGTAGGGGTAGCGTGAATCAGCATGCGTTTTAAAAGGTGATGGGATAGAAATTAGAGTGGGTATAAATTTGTACAAAAGAATAATAAAATAAATGAGTGGAGAAGGTTGGTCCACGCACACACAGTGTATGATGGATTGTAAATATATATATATATATATACTGAGAAAGTGGGGAACAAAGGGATTCGGTGTACAATGATGAAAGATAAATGGTTGGAAGTTGAAAAAGTAAACAAATACGAAGATAGATGGCTGGCTCACGTGGGTGGTGATTCCTGCTACCCAAGTTTTGTTTTTTGTTTTTTGTTTTTGTTTTTTTTTGAAATATTTTATGATTGTTTTGCATGGTCTGAACACCACTCACCCGTCTGACCCCAAGAGAGAGAGAGAGAATACCACTCTAAAGATCAGAGAGAGGACTCAGTCAGATTCATTAGACGAGGCAGAGAACTTCATTTGGTCGAGGGCTTTGTGGTGAGCCCACGACTCGATGGTGAGATCGGTCTTGGAGTTGAAGCCGAATCCGCAGATGACGATAGAAAGCTGGTAATGTAGCAAGGAAGCTCCTAGTCCTCCCACTTCCTTCACTTCCCGGCGGCGGAGGAGTCCGGTTGAAGAGAAAGCCGTTGCGGGAGCCGCCGGAGTTTTGGTCGGAGAAGAAGCCGGAGACTGAGCCAGCATCTTGTAGAGAGAGAAAGGCCGTGGAGAGGAGAGAGACTGAGCCAGCATCTGAAGATCTCTATTGTACTCAATTACTGAGACCTCTCTTGTGATGGCTGAAACTCTGATCACACCCAATTCACACCCAGATGGGTCATCGGATTCTCCGGCTCCGCCGTCAATCGAATCTCTGTTCAGCAGAAATGTCGATTTCCACCCAGCGAAGAAGCCATTCTCTAGGTTCAGCAATGGCGGCGGAGGGTTTAGGTTGGAGACTCTGAACCCAACTACTATCGCGGATCCACGGAGGCTTGGTGCGTCGGGCCAGGGCAGTGGTCAAACGGGTCTGGTTGGGAAGAAACCAGATGGGTCGGAGTTTTTGGATGTTGGGTTGGATCCTGAGCTCACTTTTGGGATTACTTTTCGGAGACTTGGTTCTGGACTGGAAAATCTTGGTTCTGGGTTTGTCCGGCGGACGGCCAAGGCGAGGCTGCCGCCCGCCGGTGAAGCGGAATCACTAAGTTTTTAACCTCGCTCTGATACCATGTTACATGTATTATTGATTGATGTATTGATCTTCTGTCTATTACAAATGATTCCTTATATAGATGTAGGTGTAGTGGATGGTGGTAGTGGGTTAGGTTTAGTGGAGTAGGTGAGGTGGTAGTGATGGTAGGTGATGGTAAATTCTAACACATGTCATTTGAAAAAGTCCCTCATGTTATCTATGGTGGCAGGCACCATCTTTAGGTTGTGTTTGGATTAAAATTTGAGTAGGGATTTGTGGAGTGAAAAGAAAAGGATAAGGAAAAGTGAAGGAAATATAAGCTAGATTTTGATCACTTTTCCCTCTTTTTTGAATTGATGTATATGTTGTTATTTCTAGGAATCCTAAGGCTGTGCTTGGTTCAAGGATTTGAGAGGGGATTTGTGGAGGAAAAGAAAAAAGAAAGGAAAGTGAATGAAATATAAGCTAAATTTTGACCCAAAGTGAATACAATTGTGGATTTTTGCACTAAAACTAGATAGTTTTGTGATAGCATGGGCTTCTTATTTTCCTAAGAAATGGACAAGATCATTGGCATCCTACCGACAAACAATCTTGCTTAACAAGTGCATCATAGTGCGAAACGAAGTCCCACATCACCTGGATACAAAGTAAATGTGCAATGTATACACGTGAGGCACCCTCACTTCACAAGTTAGTTTTTGAAGTTGACTTCTACCTAAGACCGTATAACATGGTATTAGAAATGGGTAGGGTGCATGTGCTGGGCCCTTCATGGTGGGGTGCATGTCCCGGGCCGTACATGCTAGGTGTGAAGTAAGAACGCCATCTTCCATCTCAAAAATCCTAGAATTCACTAAGAAGAAAAACCTTGAATCACAAGGAACCGAGAAGAGAAAATTCTCAATTCTTTTAAAGAGGAATAATACTACAATATTCGTCACCCCTTGAATAGGGTATTTCCCTATAAAGCTTGGACAACAACTGATAACCTTCTAGAAACTCTTGTAATCAATATTGCAACCTATTGTAGGACTGAAATCTCACTATTAGAAACTTAAAAATAACTAAAAATATATTTTTTAAAAATCCCTCTCCTAAATATGAAAAGTTACAAAATAAAAATAAAAATTATAACAAATAATAAATTTTTAACTATGCAATGTGTCCTGCATCATATACCTCTTGAGCAGGCAAAACCGTGCTCCAAGATCCATCTGGATAGTACCCAAACAAGGAGGTTTCCTTTGGCACCAAAACTGCGTCCTGTTCGAACTGTTGAGGTGTACAAAGACAGAAAAGCATCAAAAAAAAAAAAAAAAAAAAAAAAAAAAAAAAAAAAAAAAAAAAAAAAAAAAAAAAAAAAAAACAACAACAACAACAAAAAAGAAAAGAAAACAAAGCAATAGCTTTTCAACTCACCATTATAAGCACCAAATTCTGCAAGCTAGAGAACCGTTCTTTGTAAGTGGAGTTTCTATGATCCACACGTTCATTATTAAGTTTTGGGAGGAACCTACATCCTTCTAGATAGCCTTTAATGTCCTGAGAAAATAACTTAATCAAGTTTAGCACCTTGGATAGGAAGTACTAGCTGATGTTCATCAATGAGAGGGTGCCACAAAGATTACAATTACGCATACGAAGAAAGCAATTTGACTTTACAAGTAGTTAAAACTAACATGTGTTATAATGCATCTAAGAAGCATAGACACGAACACGCTGACACGAAATGTGAAGGACACTGGCAAAATATATGATTTTATATATTTATTACATATCATATATAAGGATGAACAATTATTATCATATATATGAATATTTAAATCAAAGATAATAATTTTTGAAGTCTAAAGGAGAATTGGTATAAATTTATATATTTTTTGTTTTATCAATTGAATTCCAAGTTATTTAATTTAAACTTGAAATTGTTTTGTGTGTGTCTAAATGTTGGGAAGTGTCATGTCATGTCGTGTTGTGTTAGTGATGTACACTCAAACTATATGCAGCTTTGAGAATATGAGACTTAAAATATGACATGCCTTAGACCAGCTTGTTTAAAGAACTTCTAAACTAAAGTAAAGCACTTTACTCACTGTTGGGATTTTGATATAACTAGCAGGTGCCAGGTGTTTCTGCAATCACATAAAGGTGAGGTAACATAGAGAATATAGCCAAAAAAAAAAAGGAAAACAGAACAAAACACACACACACACAAAACTAGGGAAGAGAAAGCAATTGGTCCTTGATTAAAAAAGAAATTACGTGGCAGCATATTTAAGACGGGTTGTTTTACCTGGACATAGGTGCTGTAAACCGCTAACTTGATTAAATAGTCCACGAGAATGCACAACCAGCCAGACTACAATAATAGGACACATCAAATTAAGACTGCAATATTTGATTGTGTGTGGAAAGAAGAAATCACACATAACACATAAAAATTAAACCTCCACCGAACCGAACAACTTTTTTCCAACCCTTTATCTGTGGTTGAGTTTTTAGAACCTGTTTTTTTAACAAAAATTTGAAAAACTAGTTTGGTGAAAAAATAATAATAAAAAACACCCATTATTTTCATATGATTTTCTCTTTTCTTGGGGCAGAAATAATTTTTGGAAATTCAAAATTAACTTTTTGGTGATTATTTTGTCAAATTAGTTTCTATGTTTCAGAAAACAAGTTCTAAAAACTCAATCAAACAGAGACACCTGCTTAAAATCATGAACACATATTTTCCTCTAATCTTGTCTAATCTTTCCATTTTTTCCCCCCCTCTCTCGTGAGAATGTCTGAGGCTTCCCCCTGACTAATCCCTTGGGTTCATGTAATCCCCCCGTCTCACATATATCATGTAATAACCGGGCCTAAGCCCTGGGGCGTATATGCAAGAGAATGGAAAATGTTTATGCTGCATGTGGATATGGTGAAGGAGAGCAATTTTGTATTTATACCAAGTTACAGTGTGTTCAACCTCACACAACTTTCTGAGGTTCTCTTCCATAAACAATAAATGTCACCTTCTAAATAGAATGTACCTTTAGCCTTCTAGATATTTTCCAAATTTAAAGGCCGAAATAATGAAGAATTCAAAACCATAATAAACAAAGTAAGTGTAAAAAGGATCACTTACTCCGCAAAATGGAACAGAAGCTATCCCAGCATGAGGACCTGCTAATGATATGAAATTCTTCACCTGTCCCAAATACGAAGAACGAGAGTGCATAGAGTTTAAGGGTCCATTTGGATGGATGTGGATTTCAAATCAAGAGACTAAAAACGTGGCATTATTAAAGTGAAAATACATAGAAGAGCAGCTCAATAACGATGAGAATGGAAAGGATTGACAAATAAATATTATGTCAAAGCTTTAAATGAGTTAGTCTTACTGGAGGTCCTCCCTCACAAAACTCAACAACCCCTCGGCCAACCATATTTCCCTGCAAAACATAAGAATAGGGTAAAATGTTTGCATTATGGGAAATCATCGAAACAGAAATGAAAGAACAAGCATGTGGAAATTTATTGGCCAAAATATTACATGGGGAAGAATGAAGCTACAACACATTATTATAGACTATATTGTTGGGTATAGTGGACCCTGTTAAGTATTGGACACTGGGCCCTCAATCCAATTGGAGGGTTTCTCTGTTGTTTAAGCGTTGTCTTAATTTCTATGCTTTTATAGATGAGGGGTGTCTCTTGTAGCGTGTGAGAGAGTTGTAATCATTTTCAGATCACAGTGAAACTACAGTGATTGTGGATGTAGCCCTATTTTGGGGTGAACCACGTAAACTCTTGTGTTCTTGTGTGTGTGATTATTTCGATTCATATTATCTTTCTTGTTTTTTTTTTTTTTTTTTTGTGTGTGTGTCTCGCTAATCCTAATCACAGTTGACAAAATGCTCCTAGATTTTGCATAAAGTCTCCATCACTCACCAAGATTTGACAAATGCTATATTGCAGCTTTTAATGATAATTTGTCACTTAAATCTCGGTTCACATTTCAATGATGAGGTGAAGGTAAACTTAAAATTTTACACTGGTTAAGTGACAAATTTGGTTCAGTCTTCAATTTAATCATAACATGTAACTGATATCACTTTTCTTTTATTCACCAATTCAAATTAATGCTTAACAAAACTGACTCTTGAATAAGACATAAACACTCATATAGAATTTATACATGCTCAAAGTCATATATCAAAAGCTTCAACAGAATAGTATGATGGGAAAACACTTAACAAAATATTTATTCCATGGATTTCGCACTCCAAGAAACCTTGAAACAAGGGATGTATTCACATATATTGGCGAATTCTAAAAAGATTCAAATCCATTATACTCCTCCACTTTTTTTCACCTGAGAAAGTCCGACTATGTTGTAACCTTCACTGAGTTCACTTATTTTCTTCACCTGCAAGTTGAAGAAGCACTAACTGAGAAAAAAAATTTGAATTTTGTATCCCATTCCGTTGAATCAAACACGTTACCAGACAGATTTACCACCTTCTCACAAGCAATTGTTGTCTACAAAGTGAAAGAACAAAAGCATGTTAAATTACTGGTAAATTTGTTATTAAAATGCATGACAGATGACAAGCAAGTATGTGAGATTCACCTGTTCAAGAAGGGGCATAAACCAAGAATCCCATACTCCATTTCCAATTTCTCTATGTGGGTAAAAAACCAAAGTCAAAAGTTACATTCCAGATTTAAGAGGATTCAACTAGGGAACAGTAAAACATACAAAACAAAAGCAGTCTCAAATCCATAATAATAGATACCTAAAAAAATTTCATGGATAAATCTTTCTGACAAATGGTTCATTGTTTGTGTTGAAACCATTTCAGTTCTCTACTTTTGCTGATGCCAAAATTATGAAATTGGACAAAACTAATTTTAATGTTTATTTCTGTTGATGGTTCTATGTTAAGGAGCATAAGAATGACTAACTAATGTAGATCGCGTTGCTGGTATATGGAGCAAATTGGCAGACAAGTGGCAAAACAGTAACTATGGGCTCCAGTTAACATTGTCAAATTTTCTTTAAAGAGCCCATGTTCTGTTGGCCCAATGAGAAAAAAATCAAGGCTTTTGCGTTGACCTAAGGCAGTTTTTGCACAAATTCCCTCAGTTAGGTTTCCAAATTTCCCTTTTTGTCATTTTAGGAAAATTTTCTTTTAATAATAACTTTATTTAGGACTTTTTTATTTTTAATGCCTTTTGTTTTGTGATTCATGTTAATCTTCTTGGGAAAATTCTGCTTCTGCACCTGCATCACTTACTACAGGACAATCACCTAATTTAGGAAAAAAATACATATGAGGAGTAGACCCATCCTTCTAGATGTTTTTGGATTCAGTACAAAATGTCCTTTCTTTTACATCTATATAGGGAGATCTATGGACTTTGCTTTCTACACATTTTACATATACACATTACTTATCAAATCTTGATAAATCTTCAAGTTTCACTAGCAGCTTGTGGGCTGGGGTTGAGTTTAGTAGAGAAACCATATATGCATGTGCATGTGCATGTGTGTGTATACACACGTGTTTTTGTGTTTTCATCTAAAATAAAATGAAACAAAAACAATAAGAGCAATTCAAGTTGAAAAGTCTTAAATAGTGTCAGCAATACAATGTAATAAGAGCATACACGCAATATCCTTGAGAACCCGTCCAATTGGTTAGAAGCTTGACGAAACGTTTGACTCCTGTAGCACTGCATTTATCTGCAATCCCTGCCATAACAGGTAAGAAAGGTAAGTAGCTATTTCAAATTTTTTATATACTTCCTTTTGGACTGTCACAGATTCTGGTCATCCTAGTGCAGTTACATCAAGGTCGTTGGAGTCCTAATTTGTATGGAAATATCAAAATTGATGACATAAAAAATTCAGAGTTTATAGTAGCACCAAAGGCATAAAGACTCCTGTAAGGACCACATTAGCCCGGCCTAATTTGGTATAGTATTATTCACGTTAAAAGTCACATAAATAAATTACTAAATAATGGATTCTTTTTCATCATCACACTGAAATGATGATTTTCCATAAGTTTTGCATGTTTTCAAAAAATAGTAAAAGACTTGGGTTTTTCTCGAGATCATAAATAACTTCTAAAGGAACAGAGGGATTTTTTTCTTGGAACTAACACAACATAAATAAATTTCCCCAACTCGCAATGTCTTAATTATCCACAAACACAACATAGCCGTAAATATTCCAACACAAGTTGTTGCTGAAAATAGACAGGACCAAAAGAAGGGAGGAAGAGGGTTGTAGATGTAGTAATATAATTACCAATTTTGAAAACTACATGGTATTTATTTAGTAAGAAGATAAATGCATCAATTCAAACTATCCATTAGATATATAGATGTGTGCAATGATAACAAATTGCCTTACCCTTCTGGTGCTATTATATTCATTATTGTATCAAGTATGCATCAAAAGGCATTAAATTCTCCTAGAAACAAGGTATGAGGGAAGGTAAAAGGAGCAGAGTGTATGTCTCATATAACTATTGGAATCACAATCATTAAAGGTATGGAATATTAATATTGGGATTCAAAGAAAAATTCAGAACTATAACTAGGGACATAGGTATCAATCCCGATCCAAATGTAGTCCTGAATCATTAAAACATTACAGACATATTGGAGAAATGTTATGAATGTAAGAAGAATGGAAATGATAATTTATATATTTATAGAAACACATTGAAAATGTTTAATGAAAATTTCAAGATATTAATATAAGTATGTTCCATGATGAGATCACCCACTATCATAATCAAGAACAATTTAGACTGCATAATTCAAACTGACCTGAAAAACAAAAAGACTACATAATTCAAGAGCCTGTATATACACACTTCTTGAAAAAAGAAAAAAAAAGAAACAGGTGTTATTTATTTATAGTTTAATAGAGGAAATTCATAGAAAGCACATTATGGGTGTGGCTTTTTTCTTTAAAGAACACCAAAAATAACAAAAATCACTAACTTAAGGAAGACAAAATTCAAGAACAACCAACCAACCTTAAACACACAACATTACCAAAAAGGTCATAAATTAAGTAGTTACTTGAAAGAAATTTCCGTGTTCGTATTAATGCTAATAGTCCTAAAAATTTAAGCTTTTAGCACAGCAAATAAGGGTAATGTTAAATATAGAAAATTTCATAAAGCCACAATCCAAAACAACCAAAGTGTTACATTCCACAAACCAACTTGGTAAAAGCACTTAAACATCAAACAGTAAATTAATTGAACCAAACTGAGCATAGTGAGAGTACTAACAAAGGACAAAGTAGCTAGCTAATGACTACATAATCAAAAGAACAAAAAAAAGAGAAAAATTGAAAAATTACCATGGAAGACGACAAAAGGTAGAGAACATGTGGTTGTTAGTGTACAAGTCAAAGTGAAGATGATGATAAAGAAGATAAATAATTTGGGTACTGGCGTAGAAGAAGCCATTGATTTTGGTAAAAATAACACCAAAACCAAAGAAAAACCCAAAATTTAGCATTAAAGCATTGGGAAAATGTAGGGGTTTGATTCGTGGAAGTTTGGGAGGTGCAGGAATTCTGGGTCGGGATTGTTTTGAAAAATTTTCACAGGAAACAAACAGAGAAGACATATATGCCATACTAGAATTATATAGATATAGAGAAGACACCAACTAACATTCAAAGAAGTGTTGAGAGAGAGAGAGAGAGAGAGAGATTAACGGTAGAAGTTTTCCTAGTGGGTAGTTGAGAAGATTAAACAGTCATTTTGGAAAGGGTCATCCTACATCCCCTAAAAAACATCCCCTAATCCCCCTAATTTCCATATTAAGTGAAGAAAAAAAAAAGAAAAAGGAAACAGTTGCCAGAAATGGAAATTAGAGGGATTAGGGGTGAGGATTTTAGGGCTACAAATCATTTCCCATTTGGAAAATAGGATCGTTGTTTGGTTTGGGGAGATAGAAAAGAGAGGGGAAATAAATGTGTCAAAAAAGTCTTTTTTTTTTTTTTGAAAAATTAGTTGTCAACTTTTAAATTTATTCATAAATTTTTCTTCCCTATTTATGTTTCATTAAGCACTATTTGATATAAATTAAATAATTATACTTATTTAAATAGGTATACTTATCTAAAATTTATTCATAAATTTTTCCTCACCTATTTATACTTCACTTAAGCACTATTTGACATAAATTAAATAATTATACTTATTTAGACAAGTGTATTTATTTAGGTCACGTCACTTCTTTATTTTCTATACATCTTTTAAGTAAAAAGTCAAAAAGTATACTTATTTATATTATCACAAACAACCTTTTAGTGTAAATTATTTTTTTTATATTTTAATAAAGTCTATAGGTGACATAGTTACCAAAATACCTCTCATAATAATATGATGAAACATATTGATATTTACATTAATAGTATGAATATTTCATGACGTGAACATTCATACTATTAAATTTATTTAATGTGAATGTTTACACAACCAAGTTGCTAAGGGTTCAACAAATATTTGTAAGCGTAAAATTATTCATAACATATCTCAAATATAATAATTAGGATTTGGTGAATTAAATGTCCATAGGACTTATTGGAATACAAAATTATCTTATACACTAATTGAAATATGAGTACTTGAAAGATGATTTTCTAATAAATTCTCCTTTCAAAAATTATTATACTTTAATAAAAGAACTTATGATTTTAATTATTAATATTTATAATGTTTATTACTTTTTGATAATTAATTTTTTTTGAACCCACCGCACTTATCTCTCTCTCCCTGTCTTTTATCTTCGGTGTGACTCCCAAAACATATAGATACCGAACTACACATTATATTTCTCATTAAACATGCGGAAGTCTAATTAATTTAAAAAATTTGATAGTAGAAATATGTCCAAGCTGTGTTTCCTTCATAATGTTCTTTGAGTTTTACAGAATAGCATCACATGCATTAATACATTTATCGATCCTAAAATATGAATCTATAGCATATTATATTTAAGGAACAACATTAAACCAAAAATAAGTTTATGCCTTAAAGGTTACAAGTTGTCAAGACTTTACTTGATTATAACAAAAGTGGGTCATAAGCCTAATAATACATTAAAACCCTGGGTTATACAAAAGAAAATACAACAAAACTAAACTCCAAAATCCTCCCAAACTATGGCATAAGCACACCGTTAGTACTTGAAAGTTGTTTCCACGAAGGGCGAGCAAAAAGCTCAATAGAGATAACCCAATAAAATATATGATGTTTAACAATATCATGCAATGAATTCATATGAAATGACATGCCCAAAAACATGAGTTTTCATTTTTTAAACAATGTCATGCAAGGGTTTTAAAATCACACTCCAAACAGGTTCTTTTAAATAGAAATTAGGATAGTAAATACAACATTGGTAATCCACAAGTTAATGTCTGCAAGTAGGCTCTTAAAGCACTACCCAAAAATCACTTTACCGGCTTCTAACTAGAAGGAACTTGGTATCTATACTGTGCGTGTTTTTGGACTTTCACTATGAATCTAAAGCCAAATTAATTATTCACAACCACACCCTTAACCAGATTCACCATGATATTCATAATTTTGTTCTCAAAATGAAATCATTTCCAAAGTACAAAATAACGAGTTCACAAATCCATGATTTGCAAATAGCTCATTTATCTAAATCACATGCAATTTCTATTATATGACAATGCTATTGTCCACCGATACTCGAAATATTTTTCTCTAATACAATAATTGAAAGACAACCATTGTATAAAACTCAAGTCTTTCTCAAACTTTCCAAAAAAAAAAAAAAATTGTTTTCCAACAATCTCAACATTTCAAAAATACTCAACATTTCCAAGGATCTCATGAATATTCTCGATCAAATCCTCTTTCAATAACATTCATACCTCTTGGTTTTATGAAAAAGTTGGGGCTTCTTTCTCAAAACTCAATTTCCTTCTAAAAGCCAAGTCACAAGATAACCACATGAACATTTAATTGAATAATAAGCAAAACTAAAGAGAGATCCACATTTCATGTACTAATACATAAATTAATCAAACTCTAACTTTCTCAAATCATTTGTTTAACAAAATAACACATAACAAAGCTAAAGAGCATACAAATCATTAAGAAAATCCCAACTGCAATGTCACACCCCACTTTTTGTTACTTGAATAATATTACCACATCCATTATTATAATCCAACTTCATTAATAACATGTGGAAGCTATATACATTCACATTCATAAATGAATGGAAATTCTTTCATTCGTATATACATTGGATGCAAAATGTTTTACAATTGAAGAAATGCTCATAAGCTTACATTATTACATAAAAAGAAAGGGCTTAACCCTTTTACAATGGCCTCCCGCCAACAAATAAAAGGCTCCTTGGCCAACAATTTAAGAAGATTCTTCAACCTTGAACGACTTCTCAATTTATACTTGAAATATGATTAGCAACATGGCATGAACATAAAATCCAGTAGAGATCTCAAATGATTCTAAATAATAACAACATACAGATAGTTATGATCATGAATGCATCACATCATATAAGTAATGTGACAGTTTTAAATGTAACAGTTTTATATGTAAAATATACTTATATAATTACATCTTTCCCAAAATCACCCTCTTTAACACAACAAGTGTTGGAAAATCGGTTTTATATAGACTTATTTTGGGCCATCTTTTAGCCCAAAATTGAGTAGGGTCCACACGTCTTTTGAGATGAGTCCGAAAAAGTGACGTGTTTCTTGTCGCATGGCAAGTCACACGGTGAAGACGGTTCGTCAAAACCATTTATGAGTAAATGGGGACTTGACGTTGTTTTCGGATTCGTGGAATGGACAATTAAAGAATTAAATGTGAGTTTCTTTGAAATGGGTTGTTCCACATTAAAACTTTAAGAGAGCTTGTGTATGTATATAAGCTCTAGATTGCAACACTTGGGTTGGGCCCCAAGGGGCACTCTAAGTTTGTAGAAGGGAGGAGTATAGACAAATTGAACCTTAGCCCAAACCACCACACACGCGCCGCCGCCGCCAGCCGAGCCGTGCCGGGCGTGGGCGTGGGCGTGGGTGTGGGTTGTGGGTTAATTCTTATATTAATTTTTTGGACAAAATTTATTTGAATTTTTTCCAGAAATTCTTAATGAAATTGAATTCAAATTTTGTGCCAAAATTGAATTTAATTTTTTGTCCAAAATTGTACCCGATTTTCAGTCCATTTTCCAGCAGTTCAACAGGTTCAAACTATCCAATAGATTGGGAAAACTGCCTAGCAGTTCCGAGCAGTTTTAAAACTGCCAACAGTTTGCAGATCTGTTCAAATTTTGAATTGAATATGTTCAAAACAGTTTCATATCTGTTCAGTTTTTTATAGCACCTGTTCGGACAGGATTTTTTTCCTATAAATACTAGTTTAATTCCAGCAGTTTGGTGATTCGAAAAACAGTCTGAAAAAATTCATTTTGTTGTTTATTTGCTCTGTTTGCATAAATTCTTCATATTAATTTTTAGGAAAATTAAAGAGAGTATAGAACACAAGGTTTTTGTTTGTCGTAAAAATTGTTTGGAGTGCTACTACAATTTGTGAAGATCATTGTATTTTGAAAGATAGACGCCATTTGTTCGTAAGCACCGTAGCGGGGCGAATCTGTCTTAAGAACAAAGTGTCACACACTTGACTTGATCTTTTAAATATTCATTTCAGTTCGATAAAATAAATTCTGTAAGTTATTTATTTTATTTGTTTGATTTAGTTTCAATTTATTTATTGTACATAGAAGATTGTTCCTACAATCTTAAGATAGACACGAATTATGCTGTTCACAGAATTTTTCGTTTGTTTCCTTTTCTCTTTCTTCTTCTTACAGAAATTATTTTTTGTGATTTTACAAAATAATATTCTGGTTGGAAAATAAATAGTAGTAATATACTGTTTGACAGATTGTAGTAATTTATTGTCTATTTTTTTTTTACAACTAGTAGTAATATACTGGTTTCATTAACAATTCAGAATATTTATTTGTGGAATTTTGTCAGAAATTAATTTTGGTTTTCAGAAATTATATCTGAGTGTTTATTAATTAAAATTCTGTTTCAGTATTTTAATTATTGAAGTGTTACAGAAATTTAATTTTCTGTGTAGAATTAATTTGGTTAAATAAAATTTTATTTTATTTCCAAATTAATTGAAAATAAAAGTTACAATTCTTGTTTCTTATTTTTACAGAATTTAATTATGTGGTTTTGGTTTAAATTTTCTGTGTAGTAAAAAATTCTAATTATAATTTTGTTTTATAATTTAGAATTCATGGCTACTGAAACTAGTCAAAGTAATGCTCAAACAAGTACGAGTATAGTGGCTGCAATTGTGCCAACCTCTCCTCCTGTTATGACTGTGCCAGTCAATCACGATGAGAAGCCAGAGAAGTTCTTAGGAACTGATTTTAAAAGATGGCAACAGAAAATGTTGTTCTATCTTACAACTCTAAACCTGGCACGCTTTCTCCATGAAGATGCTCCTATTCTGAAAGAGGATGAAACTGACCGGCAAGTGGTTGCTACAGTCGATGCCTGGAAACATGCTGATTTCCGTTGCCGGAACTACATCTT